CCATGGAATATTGAATTACGTTGGTAGTACATGTAGATCGTTGTACTGCATTGTCATTAAGACTTTTGGGGGCAAGTTGGTGAAAAATTAATTTACACATTGTTGAGTTACTCCACAACTCAGTTTGTTTTTGTTTCGCTTTGTTGTGTATCATTACGACATGAAATTTATTGTGGTATTCTTTTTCTTTAAGGGTTTAGTGGAAAGCAGCAAAAAAAAGTCAAAGAAAAAAGAAATCATTACAGCATTATAGAGCAAAATGCATTTAGTGACAACTATATGGAAAATATAAAATGCTCGCATCCAAAAATGACCAGTCAAAATGACCAGCAAAATGAGAGTTTGACCGGTCAAGCCCTCGATCAGGTCGGACATTGTCCGTTGACCAGCCGTTATTTTGAGCCCTGGTGTTTTTTGTGCTTGACTGTTGCTGCACTGCAATTTCAACAACATCATTCTTGTTCCTGTTTCCTGGGCTTGGTAACACACTGGGTTTTGAAGGAGGGGGTGGGTGGACTTCGTCAATGTGGGCGTGGGCATATTGTTAAGAGACAGAGGGATGCAGCCTGTTTTTATACTTACATTCAGTTATTACATGATCGGACATGAAGATTAGGCTCAATACAACCATCAAGAGACCCATCTTGGGAAGATCATCACCCCTGTTTCAACAAACAAAGCTTCAGTAATTAGTTTTATTACACGTTCTACTTCCCCAGGGAGCTATGAAAAGCTGTAACTGTAATTACTGGTATTATGATATTGTCATAATCAAGTGTAGAAAATATTATAACAATTATGGACAATTAATTTACAGGTACAATTACCAATGAAGCAGTTCATCCTCCCTTGCTGCTTTCTTTGCAGTTACTAGGATGTATCCCTTTGACTTGCCCACATCAATTTCTTCTACAGCTATTCCAAAGACCTAATAATAGTCAATACAAAATAATTACATGTATCATTCTTTTAAACAGTCTTTATTTTAATTAACCAGTTTTTTTTTCCTTAAGCACCAAACAAAAGAAAAGTGGGAATTATAATAATTAAAATAATAACAATAATAATAATAATAATAATAATGATAATGATAATAACAAATAATAATATTTATATAAATATTTTTAAATAATAATAATAATAATAATAATTTATAATAATAATAATAAATAATAACAACAACAAAAATCACAGAATCTACAACACCTAATAATTCAGATTGAGCCACTTACTGTAACATGTACTTAAATTTTTATGTTTACCAGTTAAACTGTTTCTGTGCTTAAAACCATTGATTTGAATCACAAATGGGGAAGAGTTGCCATCTACAAATCTAAACAATGTAAACAATCACATGTATTATTTTAGCCCTTTCATCCTTCAAAAATCAAAAAACCTGCGGTGATACCATTCAACAAAATCATCTTTGGCAGAGCTTTTGCATACATTTACTGCTACATTTACATGTATTAGTTTGTTTCTTAGAATTTTTTTACAGAAAGAAAATAAATTTGATTTTGCTGTAGCCTTTTTAGTGGTGGTGGTAGTGTTGTTTGTTTGCTTCATATACACATTCCTCATTTGCCCCTTATAGCTACATGTACAGCATTGAAAGGATTAATGCTTTTGTACCTTTTCAAGGGTCTTCTTGGCATGGTCAAACACTTGAGTGAATGCTTTAGAATGTTCCTTTAGCACATTCTTTGTTATATCTGCAGCAAAAAATGCATCGTAACATTACTCTGACATACAGGGTAAGGTACATATAAAGGTGTGCACATGAAAAAAAAGGCCAACACAGCTCAACCCTCTGCACCCCATATCCACAGACACAAATTCTCAAGACTAATCTCCATCTCATGGCCTGAGGTTCATACAGTGCAGGCCAGAACTAGGAGAACCAAAATATATGCGTAATACGCATCAGGAAATATGAGTCCATTGCGTCAGGGCAGACGCATCCATGCGTCTGAGCTGCTGAGTGATGCCAAGTGATTTTACAAACGAAACCCTTCTCGTTGCCAAATTTATCTCCATTAATCACGGCTAAAATCCCTTATGCAAAGCTCCTTAGAATGAGCGACTATTCAGCTTTTTTACACCCAAAGATTTGCTTGCTTGTTTGTTTTTTTTACAACAATGCCCCAAAAGCAAAACTCTCACAGTGAATAACAAAGTAAAAATCTTTCCTTCCTGACACGTCTAAACTGACGCAGATGCTTGTCAGTGCTGACGTGTACCCTTGTCCCAACCGATGCATCCATTATATCAGTTTCACATCTGTGTTTTCGCTTTGCTCTGGCCTGCACTGTAGTTTGTGGTTGGTTCTCTCCTTTGCTTTAAGAGGTTTTTCTCCAGGTACTCTGGTTTTCCCCTATCCAACTCGACTAGGAGTGACAGACAAAGAATCACTTTGTGGATGTTCTACCTCTAAATCGTCATTAATTAATAAAGGAATTTATAATTTTTTTAGAATTATTTTTTAATTTAATTCTTGTCCAGTTGATGGAAAAGAACCTGCAGTGGATATACAAAATTTTGTGAAAGCAAACTCATTAATTTTTGCAAGTAACAAGGTACTTTGTTAAATCAAGGTTCTGCTGTATTACACTGCAATAATTATTATTACCACTTTGTTCGTTCACTGTACACACCTCCTCGCTTGATGGGGTACTTTTTCCTATCCATAAATAATAAATACCTTACTAACTCGGACACCTGATGAACACAGAAAAATGAGAGATGTTATGCTCATGTTCATATACAGAGGAGCAGAGGAAGTTGGAGAGAAAGACTTGGACGGTGATGTACAGGAGTGTAAGGGCAGGGATATCACTCAGATTTCAAGTTGCTGAGTAAATGAGACGCATGGACAGGGAATTAAACAGCTACATGTAGAGATTTATTTTGGTTATACATGTATTTTTCTTCTATTTTCCTATGAAAGTACATGTAGCCTGGGGCCACATTTACAGTGGCCGCGGTAACACCCCAGCCCCCACCTCTTAATGACAGCCCTGTTAGGGTCACTTCATCCTTGGAGTAATATTGACGGGCTTTATACGCCAAGAGAAAGAGGTGAATAGGGTTTAAAAATTTGCAGAAAATGCATCAAGTGTTGTTGGTAAGATACACTGGGGCCACATTTACAGTGGCTGCGGTAACACCCCAGCCCCCACCTCTTAATGACAGCCCTCTTAGGGTCACTTCATCCTTGCAGTAATATTGACGGGCTTTATACACCAAGAGAAAGAGGTGAATAGGGTTTAAAAATTGGCAGAAAATGCATCAAGTGTTGTTGGTAAGATACAGTGCATGGATGTAGCTTAGTTTATAACAGATGGGAAATGGCATTTGATGGGTGGGCAATACATGTATGAGAAGAAAAGACTGCAATATTTTTATCAGCCACAAAAAACACAAAAAAATACATTGACAGCAGGGTATTTTCCCCAGCTCTCGGCTATTATCTACATCCCTCCTGAGTGTTACGGTAAAAGGGGTACACAGTGACGCCATCGAGTAGGTTAAAAGCAATGGGTCAGATGTCTACCCTTCAGACTAACCTTCAGACACCAATATAACGCCAAAAATTTGTCAGTCATCCCAATTTTATGATAAAAATGCTTACAGAGATATATTTTTTTCCAGATTAAAGCTGTACGCAAGGGCGTGTGTGCATACAGTATGGACGCTATGCTACTGGCTACATGTGCATGTACGCTGTAGATGCTCAGACAACTGTGATCCTTGGTTAGTAACCACAACTTACTCCAAGGGAATTTTCCAGTTGGCCAGCAACACTAAGTTTTACATAGTAATACTAATTAATAATCAAATAAAATAAAACAAAATAAAATATGGACCTTTCTGTTGAGTTCATCTTTAGATAGTTCTTTTTGAGATTTTTTGGCTTTTCCCTCTTGTGTACAATCTACCTCCTCCATGGATTCATCTTCATTGCGTTGGCTGCTGAGCGTAACAAATTTGTGAGATTACGAAAAAATTGAAATTATAACTAGCTTGGCTTGCAAAGACTTCCGTTGACTATAACTTACAGCAACAGTCAAAACAAAGCAGAGATCTTGCCCTGTCTTCACCTCTACAATCACCTTCTTGTCAAAATGTACTATGCTAGTGCAATGCAGACACAATGAGCATCACATTATTTTTAATGGTCTGTTTCCTTTTTTCCTGAATAGCAAAGTTTAATTCTACTTGATTACATGGCGTAACAAACCGATTGAAATCGATCATGGAAAACGTAGTCGATAAGCCGATCGATTTTTAATCGACGATCGAAACTATCGACATGTTACGCCCTGTGATTAGTACATTCGTTGCTCAGACCAAACCAAATCGGAAAAGCATTAGAATGGGTTCGATTGACTTTCTGCTATTCAGTTTACAGGCGCTATCAGTATAAACTGAACGCAGAGGCGGAAATAACGATCGCTCACTTTTTCTGAAGTAAATCAAAGAAAAAGGATCTTATGGCATAATGAAATAATTTAAAAAAAGTTAACATTACGTACCTCGAGCTAGGTCTTTGGGACTGACTCGGAAGATCATCCTGCGAAGAAATAACCCACGTGTTTAGTTTAGCTGACATCATCATCAAATTTCATTCCCGTTTAGTTCTCGAATATTTCGCCAAACAATGGCCACAGTTGGGTATTTACACAAACCTCTATCTCTTCTATTCTTCTTCGCTTCGTTTTATCCTTTGCTTTTGGCATTTTCATACAGAAAATTGCAGAAAAACTAACACAACCGTAACACAGTCATCTGTCGCTCGATTCCCGCCAAAGTGTTCATTTCACAGACTCTTGCGCCTGTGTTTATGCGTCATTCTGCTGACCATGTTGCCATAACCTTCTTTGCCTGTTAGAACCCAGTATTTCTCTGAGCAACGTCGACGACTTTCCATGAGTGACCGAAAGATTTGGCCGGTTGAGATCATCATTAGCTGAGCTGTTTCTTGTATTGCTAGAATAGAAATGGCAACAAAAGCTAAAAGCAAGGGCATAATTAATGATACCACTCCTTTAATGTGCACCATTGAGGGCATTGCCAAGAAAGAGCACGTGGTAAGTCCACTTCAATGATGACATGAGACTTCCAAAGATTGGACCGATCGGTGCACGGATCAGAGGCTTTTACCCAGCTTGTTTCATTTTGTTACTCTTTCTTCTCATCTATAGGACTATATCATGAAAGTGCAACGTGGAATCAGTCCCGACGATTCGTGGCAGGTATATTTTGTCCTAAACACCTGGTTGATCTTGATATAATTTACATGTCGACCTACATGTACATGTATTATCAGATTTCATCCATGTTTAACCTCCTGGACCTTGGAATTTTGCCAAGTTTTGTAACTTCTTAAATGCGATAAGCGTGTTATTTATTAAGTACTTGTATACCAATGCTATATGAATGGTAGAACGTTTAATATCCAAAACCCCACCCCCTATGGATGAGATTTTCTGAAGGGGGAGGGGGGGGGAGCTTGAAAGTTATTTCTTCAGGGGTGGCTATGTTGGTCCCCTCACAGGTAGCCCAAGCTCACTATGAGAGCCCTGAACAACATTATCCTACTTAGCTAATTAATTATTCATACAGCAAGAAAATTATAAGAGGTTGTATGGAGAAGTATTCTTTGCTCACTAAATTAGCAAAATGTACATTGAATATCGCTTTGAAGCTTACCTTTAGCATCTTCTTGTTTTTCTTTGTATTCTGACTGCATTTCAGACCTCCTAGGCACTGTTTAAGGCCTTTTTTGGAGCGACAGTTTTTCACCCAGGTGACAGTAGAGAGAAGAGAAGAGAAGGTTGGCAAACCTCTCTTGACCGGCTCCGCTCTCGGCGGCGATAAATTCCGTGACATTTACGACATGGAGACAATTCTGCCAGAAACAGATGTCCTGATAAATAACGCACATTTTCCATCATTCACATCGCCAAAATTCCCATTTCGAAGGTCCTAAATCGCCAACGAAGTGGGCAATACACGGCTGAGGTGAGGCGAGTCGAGAGCAGACCTGCAACGGACTCCAATGTTTGAAAAAGGGAGGAAAAATAGCTAACAACTATTTACAGCCGTAGTAATTCTTATTGCAAAATTTTTTTCTAAATCATACATAAAAAAACCATTGTCAAGCGCTTTTTAAAAAGAAGAGTAGAGATCAAAACATTAACAACGCGACATGTTTTTGATATTACATGTCACTATCACACGCGATGCTTGACTTCCGCGACCCCGGAGTGTAATGTGTGAAGTGAAAAATCAGTTACTGTGCCCAGTAGGCTAAATGCTCCAATTGTCCTTTGACGGTTGAACAATTTGACCCTGCCAGCCCGCGTCGGTTTGAATTGTCGACGTGACAGTTGGAGTCCGTTGCGGGTCTGCTCTCGACTCGCCTCACCTCAGCCATGTATTGCCCACTTCGTTGGCGATTTAGGACCTTCGAAATGGGAATTTTGGCGATGTGAATGATGGAAAATGTGCATTATTTATCAGGACATCTGTTTCTGGCGGAATTGTCTCCATGTCGCAAATGTCATGGAATTTATCGCCGCCGAGAGCGGAGCCGGTCAAGAGAGGTTTGCCAACCTTCTCTTCTTTTCTCTCTACTGTCACCTGGGTGAAAAACTGTTGCTCCAAAAAAGGCCTTAAACAGTGCCTAGGAGGTCTGAAATGCAGTCAGAATACAAAGAAAAACAAGAAGATGCTAAAGGTAAGCTTCAAAGCGATATTCAATGTACATTTTGCTAATTTAGTGAGCAAAGAATACTTCTCCATACAACCTCTTATAATTTTCTTGCTGTATGAATAATTAATTAGCTAAGTAGGATAATGTTGTTCAGGGCTCTCATAGTGAGCTTGGGCTACCTGTGGTCCCCTTTCATCTATGGAATAGTTATTGCTGAGGAGTATGAGAAAAAATCCCTTTTTTTCTCAGTGGAATATGAATATTATGGCAATATAATAATTATATAATATAGATCATCTCATGCATTCAGCAAAGGCATATTGTAATCTTATATACATGTACATTTGTTGTTATTCATTCATAATTCCCTTGCTAAACCAGCTGGCACTGGACTGTCAAATTTGGAAGTTGCTTATTATACCTATACCATGATTGATGATGCCAGTCACTTAGATGTTAACGATGGTATAATAAATACCAAGTGTCATGCAAAACAACAGCTGAGTAGGCTAGTGTAGCTGGTTTTGCATGAGTGCAAGAACTCATGAAAGTTTTTGGACAAAATTGATAGCATGAATATGCAAAAATATTACGCAGTGAATGTCAACTGCTTTTTTAGGAATATATTATCTGCAAGAAAAATTGATCTGTTCATTTTGTGAAACTTTGTTTAAATTTTCTAGTGGTTAACCGTGGCAGGATTAGCTCAGTTTGTAGAGTGCACGATTGCAGGGTTGCAGGTCGTGGGTTCAATTCCGGGACCAGACCAATACTCAGGGTCTTAAAATTACTGATAAATGTACATGTACTGTATTTTCCCTGCAAACGGCTAGACCTTCACCTGGTTCAGATGACCATTAAAATGTTGTTCTCGTCTCCATGAGGAGACACAAATTTTACAGTGTCCTCAATAAGTACTTTTGTTCTAAATACATTAAAACTCATTTGTGTGGGGATTTATTATTATTATTATTATTATTATTATTTTTATCTTTTAAGGTTTTACATCGCTACAGTGAATTTGTCACTTTGCATTCAACCCTGGAGGTATGGATTATATTTTCAAATTTCATACCTGTAGTAATTTTGCAGTCCATCTGAATTTTGCAGCGTTTTTTGTTAGGTGAAGTTTCACTGTAAGTTAATACATAATTTAAGGCTTGAAAAATACCCCATCTGGTAGCCCAGGACAAGCAGATTTTCTTGCTGGGCAAGTAACTTATAAAGCTCACTAATTTGCTCCATGCAGGGTACTGAATATGCATAATGGATTATTAAATAGAAGAGAATGGATTAAGCGTGAATGAGCTTGGGCATGCTTTTTTCTACAGTGTACCATTAGTTTTTTTTTTCCTATTTGCAGTACTGAGTGTTATTGTTACTATGACTGATTGTTTATTTATTTATTTATTTCATTCCTTTTCCCCCCTTTTTTTAGGTTTCTGGACTAGAACTTCCTCTTCCACCAAAAAAAGTCTTTGGCAATATGGACACCACCTTTATTGCTGAAAGACAAAATGGTCTCCAGAATTATGTTAACTTCATTTTGGCCCATCCTGTCTTAGCACGGCATATTTCTGTAAAGAAATTCCTTGATCCTGTCAACTATTCTTGCGATTTTCAAGGTACCTGTACTCAATCATTATGTGATAAGTGAAATCCACTTTCATGTTTATCTAGCATTCAACCCTGCATAGTCAAAACATTGTGGGACACATGATAAAATTAGGCGTGAGGACGAACTTTGCTAAATTAGCTCATATTGTACCTCTCATAATCTTAGCAATTAGTAATTCAAATTCAATTTCTCCCTTAATTTTACCCATGGGATATCTGTAAACTGTAGCTATACAGTGTTCTCCCTAAGTAATTAAAGCTAGGTGGATTGCCTGGCTTAATTCACTGAAAAATTGTTGCCGGCTTGCTTAAAAACCAAAGATTTAACTGAACGGAAGCTTATGTTGACATTTAGAGCTAGAAATAAATCACCCAAAGGAGGGAATAAACCATTGTCTGGTGTCTTTCTTTGTGTATTTCCTCACAAGATATTGGTTATAAAAGTGGTTTATCGTTGGGTGAATATGTTCAAACCTGTGAGGTATTCATTTTGTTGAATGGCCCTTTAGGAGCTTTAAACATGGAGTACTAAAGGAAATTCCTTCCCTTGCAGTCAACCCAAGATGCACGGAACAAAGATGAATAGCTTGTCAAAAGCAAATCTAGTTCTTTTTTTACAAATTAAACTAAGTTCCCAAGTTGACAAGTTTTTATTCAGGCTACAGCAGGCTTTGTACAAACACGGTTAAAAATCACAGTGTCAGAATACCCCCTGGTCTTCCCAAGATCCTAAGGAGAACACTACCATAATGGCTCGTAAAGCATATAAATTTTACATGTACCATGTAAAATACTGTGTCTATGTCTATGTCTGATACGTGAAGAAAGAAGGTTACCATTGTTGGCACATGCCCTAAAGCCCTTGAAAGTTAAGTGAATTATTATTATTATTATTAAAATGATTCTGACTATCTTTCTGCCACAGAGAAAGGAACACAAAATGTGGCAATGTTTTTAAGATCAGTTCCAAACTGGGAAATAGTGGAACATTTACCAGATATTGGTGAGTTAAAATGACATAGATAATCAAACCCAGTAAGCACAGGGGCACAAAGCATGAAAAGAAAACGAAAGAAATGAATTATAACAAATTAATGTTTAATGAAAATTATATGCTCTTTTTACAGTATGCTATCATACAAACATGGATTTGACTGCTGTCTAGTTTTATCTGTTGACAGGAATTCATTTTCTTTTTGTTTTGGGGTTAATGAAGATTGATCATATCAAGTAATGTGTCCGAAACAAAGGAAAATCACAGAATTTGAAACCACAATAATACATTATACATGTAGTTAAAAGACTTTTCCTTTAATATTTAAAAAAAAGAATCAATTTACATTTCTAAATGACATTTATTAGATAAGAGTTTGTTTGTTTGTTTGTTTAATTACATGTATTGTATTATTTTATTGATTAATTAAAATTTATTTTTTGAAAACAGCTCTAAATTATTAATAGCTTTGGTCAGAATATATAAAAAAATAAAAAATTGCCATCTGTCAATTTTTGTTAGAACAAAAGTAGAAAAATTGCTAATAGTTGATGAAATAAATATTTTATAGCACCAGTACAGTAGGTATCAGATCTGTTTGGGCATTTACAGTACACCAAATGCAAATGTGAGCAATGTACCATAAGAAATATTATTTAAATTTATCTTTTATGTTGACCTACCTGTATACCTTATATTCCAGGTTGGCGGATCAGGAAACAGTTCTTTTTAATAAAACCTACAGATCCGTCCAAAAAGGATGTTAGGAACATTCTCACCTGGGTAGTATAAAGTATTTTGTCTGATAAAACTGTTTCATCTTTTGTGATATCAATTAAAAATTATTGTCCTGTCTCTCCCTCATGAATGCACTTTATGATAATAAAATGTAAAAATAATGTGGTGAAGCAAAAAAGAATAAAATGAAACAAAAATCATAATTTTCATGAACAAAAAGACAGTAAACAATACATTTATTTCATAAACAAACTTAGTTATCATTGACATGATTTAATTATGTCAGTTCTACGGTAGTTGCTTGTTGGAATAACCGCACTGTACTTATTTGTTAAATTTTTATACACAGACTCTTGATTTATTGAATTATGTTAAAACATTGGTTTTTGTTCCTTACATACATGTATGAATAGACAGATTATGGTCCAGATTTTAACTTGGTTCAGAAAGATGTGGAGGCAATATTGAAAATACTTACTTCTCTTCAGGTAAAAGCTGTTTAAATGCAAATGTTGCAGTTAATTAAGTTACTTTAATTCTGGGTTTATTACAGCGACTGTATAATGCATGCTGGTCAAAGGGAAAAAAGTTGATAGTATACTGGTAATTATTGTGCTAGGAGGTTTGGTACATGGAATTTGAACTCACTTGTAATAAAGAGTTAAAATTTTATTATTTATTATTATTTTTTCTTTCTTCTTCTTTTTTTTTTAAACAAATTATGATTTTATGTTAGAATAAATACAAGCTGTAATATTATAGTACAAATCAGTGATGATATACATGTAATAGAAAAAAGTATATATATAAATTTTGCTTTTTTTGAGTGTCCAAAACTGTGGATCCTGTAGGTTCTACAAACATATGACTTCTATACATGTATTTTGATCTAGAAAAGTGTTCCTTGACAATAAAAATTGTGCTCCTGTGAAGTACACTGTAAACTGAAAACATTTTATGTAAAAGGGATCAAGACATTCAGTAAATATACTGTACAGGTTATTTATATCACTGTGTTGTATGATACTCTATCTCAGTATTCACTGTAGTTATAAAATATTTTCATCTTTCAGCACCCTTATATTAATCCACCGTCATTTATATCGTGTAATTCAGAAGGAGTCATTACTGTTAGGAATTTTCTCCCAAATGGAACATTAAGAGATTGTCTCTGTAAGGTTAGTTATTGTTTCCCAATCGTAAATATCCCTTTTTCGCTTAAACAGTACACTAAAATCAGGAGAAAACAATTAAGTTGTTACAAAGTTGAAACTTTAAATACACAATTCAGATTCAGCTACACATGTAACTTTTACATATTATTGAACTGTAATCACTTACTTGTACCTGGTATCTACGGGGCTATCGCTAAGGGCCCAGGGCTTGGTAATTTTCCCCGCTACAATTAGCATGAATCCTACAATCCTCGCCACATTAAAGTTGGGACACCCAGTGCTGTACCCATATTCCGACAAAAAGTTGTGCTCCTTCCATCCCAGTGTTGATTTTTTTGCTTCTGACATGTCCACTTGCAAAAACCAACATTGATGGGGCAGAAAATACCACTTCTGTCCCAACTAATATGACTAGTATTGTAGCTAGCAGTACTCATAGAAAACAAAAGGACAACAGAACCCAAAAGAACTTCCTAACTTCTCAATTTTCAACCTACATTTTTGTACAAAATTGCATATATATACCTGACGATTTGAAATCTTAGTGATAGGTCTGTTTCAAATTTGCCATTGATTGATTGACTGATTGATTGTTGATTGATTGATTGATTGATTGACGGACTGATTTAGGCAAACCCAAGAATGAGTCAACTTAAGAAATATGGAAATCCAAAGGCTAGAAGTATTTTACATGAGCAAAATATTCAGCTTTTTGGAAGGCAAATCTTAGAGGTAAGCTAAAGTATTATTAACCCCTTCACTGCCAGAGTACTTGATGGAGTTTTGTAAGGCGACTCTAACTTTTGAGTCTGCGGATGAAATCCTATGATGTGACCATTCAAATGAAAGCTCTCTGCCTGTACTTTCACTTGATGCTATTTGTTTGTCAAAATTTTAGAAAATGAAATGTGGAAATGTGGTCGAAATTTGCCTTTGGCCACATTTGGCAGTGAAAGGGTTAATTATCATCATCATCATCATCATCATTTATTTATTTTTTTCCTTTTTTCACACTAATTTAAATTGTGGTTCAGTAAATTATTCAATTAGTTTGATTTGCATTTTCCTTTTTTGGGGGGTATGGTGTAATTACAAAACAAAAAAGAATAAAGTTGAAACCCATGGTGAAAGTGAATGACAAAATACAGTCACTGGGCTATGTTGCTAGCATTGATCTCCATAAATGCAAATTTGCAAGAGATGCTCACTAATAATATTGATACTGAGCAATACTTTTGTAAGCCGGGACTACACGTATAAAAGTGGAACAAAAAATTAGTTATTTTGTGGATACATGAAGATGTCCACTTAGAGGTTATAGGAGCTATAATAATTCTAATAATTTATTTGTTATTACTTTAAAACCCTATGAACATATTGAGATCAAAGAAAACCCTGAAATGTTAATGGTTCACTACAATAATATTATTTAGCCTACTGCTTTGTCTAAACTGTTAAACATATTTTTTTGGCTTTCAATTGCCAAAGTGGAAATGAGTTGCAGCTTGAAAAGAACTGGGCCATATTTTTTTCACGTTCAAACCCTTTACTGTTTAGAGTTGATCATTAACCGATCACGCTGAAGATACTATAGTCTTGGTTATCATTATTGCAACTCAGCTTTGACCTAGAAAGTCAAACTCGTTGTGACATGATTATATCCCCTTTAAAAATGTAGTGATTATATGTTGCTCGGACCATGAATAAGTTTCTATTCACTGGAAGAGATGTCTGGAAGTTCAACTGAATAAAATGAGGACATTAGATTTCATCCATAGAATTAAGTGCTAAGTTAGGCTCTTGTCTTGCACAAGCTGGTGATTGGCTTAATAAACAACTGTTTTGCTTCTGGTAGTACAGTGTATGTCAATTAGTTTAGTTTCATTTTGGTGTCGGCCCATGTCAATTATTTAAGTCGCATTGTAATATTTCTGCAATTCTATGTAAGGACTCCAGTGTACTTCTAGTATTTCTTCACTTTAATATTGTCGTCAGTGTGCAAAGAAAGTAGTGTCCAATAGCCCGGGGCTAGTGGATTATGCTATCGGGCTAGTGAATTCTGTTCTTGACTTGCCCGACGGGCAAGTGAAGTATTTTGAGGAATTCAACTTACAGAACAACTGTGAAATCATTTCCGCTCATCAAAAATTTTGGGAGGCTAGTTGAAATGACGTTTGGGCTAGTAAATGCTAGCTTCAGCTTGCCCGAATGGCAAGCTGTGAAAATGACTTTCTTTGCACCCTGTATTATGCTTTTTATTTTTGCAAATTTAATATTCTGCTTCTTTCTCTTTCCAGGCAGTAAAGTTTTTACATGATAAAGGGATTCCCTTTGGTGAGTGCTTAAAAAATCTCCTTACTTTCTGGAGGTGTTTTGCACATAGTTACATGGTATTGTATTTCCTGGCATTATCCCTTATTTACTGAAGCTGATTTAGTGTCTGGTAATAACATTATTGTTATAATGCAGTCATGTAGCCTGAGGAATCATCCCAGTGGGTATTTCCCGACGGCACCACTGGTTTCCCTGCAAAATGATGACTGAAGAATGAGCAAAGAATTTTTGTACTGATGATGCATTACTACTCAGATCTGGGTGGTGCTTCTGATTGGTTGAAATTTTTCTTCAACTTATCAGTTCATAAGCACTAGTACCTTGCAGATCTGGGTTCTGATACTTCATCATTATTTAATTTCTGTGCTTTTTCCTCAGACGTCTTTTCATAGGGAAACCAACAGTGGTGTCGCAAAAAATGAATGTTGGCTGTTTTCTCAGGCTAGCAATCATGTGAATAATGATTTAGCTGGGGACAACTGAAGCATGGTTTTTAGCCATGCACAGTTTGCCCTTAGCTTATTTGATTCAAAATAGGGATCAATTTAATATTTCTTTTGCAAGTGTAATTTACAGGTGGAGCTATTGTTTTCAGACTCTAAAACAATGGGTATACTTGAAAATTACAATTGTAAAAGTTGTATTAATTGACCCCAGTATATTTATTTATTTTTTATCAATTTTTTTAAATTTATTTTTCTTGCATCCCAGGTCATTTGCACTCAGGAAATCTTGTTATAGATGGAAATGTGTGTAGGTATGCCAGCCTGTGCATCTCTTTGTGCCTTTCTTGTTCATGTTATGTTCTAACCACAGCGCACTAGATAGTATACACCGCAAGATTTTTCTGTTCCTTATAAAGCCTACCATTTTTGAGATTGTAACATGAACACTACACTATACCTTGTACAACATCACAATCTGTTTAGTGTTGAGAGCATTTAAGCATTGACACTATATCCTCATGTTTTTGCTATTTCAGATTACTAGAAATTGAAAGCGGTTTGTTAGGTGTTCCATCCATTCATAGGCATCGCTATGTTCCACTGAAAAAAATACAGGTTTGTACAGTGCTGTGCAATTGTGTCTCTGTAGAGTAATCACTGGTCAGACTGTGTTGTTTTGAAATGAGTGGTAAGACTGTGGTGCTGGCACTGTGGAAGGACTTGTGTAATAAAATCTGATACAAGTCTTTCACTATTTGCCTTTCAGGAAAAGGAAGCCGAGGATGTTTATTGTTTTGCTCATGTGTTATATGAGATGTTTAGTGGAGAGCCATTACGTACCAGTACACTAAAAGATCTCCCCGCACACTGTCCATCTCAACTCAGTAAGTATTGTATATTGTATAGGCAAAATGGAAATCTCATAAAGGCTAAGGCGCACACGAGCCAAAGGCCCAAACAGCTGGAGGTTATCCAGGTTTCTTTAGCATGAAGCATGCCTAGAAGTAGTGCTACTCCACCCGGGACAGGATGCTAGTCCATCGCAAGTTACCCCTCCAGCAGTATGTTGTCGGTACCCATTTATACACCTGGGCCAAGTTGTTCAAAGCTGGGTTAAGATAACCCAGGGTTAGTTCGAAATTTGAACTCAGATATAAAAGCTTAAAAAGCAAATTCAGTTTAATTCTTTTTGTCAACAATTTGATGATTGGCTCCTCTAAAAAGAAGAGAGAAAATTGTCCGAGAAAATGCTTTTGATGAAAAGGGAAAGAGACCCGGGTTAAATTTTAACCCTGGGTTAGCAGTAATCGGCCTTTGAACAACTGGGCCCTGGGTGAAGAGAGACAAAGTGGAGTCAAGTAGGAAATAACGCAGCGGGCGAGGCTTGAACTCTGGACCTCCAGATCCGGAGTTCGAGGTGTTCACCACTTGGCCACACGCGCCTCCCAAAATGTCACAAAGCCCTGGGAGTTTTTGTTTTGTTGTTGATGTTTGTTTGTTTGTTTTGTTTCTGTTTTTGACATTTTTTCCAGGATGGAAATTCTGCAAAATTGGAGGTCCTCAAAACCTAGAAATTGGAGCACTGAATTTAAAAAAACCTGTGTATAGAATACTCCAATAGCCAGTTTAGTCCTGGAAAACTCTTTCTTGGGGCTGGGATGAGGCCAGGAAAAAAGCTGCCAAAAATGTTGTCATAGAAGGGTAGAAACCCTGCAAAGTTAAATGAAATGTTTGAGATTAAATAGAAGGTTGGCTGAGGCTGTGCTCTAAGAAAATTGAAGGAAGCCCAGAGCTCTGAACCTGTAAAAGCCACAGTGTGCGGCATATGATTTGTATCAAAAAAACTAAGATTTTCGGGTCGCCTGGGAGCAAAAGTTAGGTACCGGGGACCACCGTGAGCTGTAAAGGCACAGCTTTGCATCATCACCTGAAACTGGTTCATGTAATCATGTCCAGCACAAAATGAAAGGAAACTCAAATAATGCAAAATACAAAGACAAGTGCAAACCCAACTTCCTTTTAAAATGATTCTGAACCCTCTTTATATATGTATTGTCTTCTAGGATCTATTTTGTTGTCGATTCTAAGTGATGAGGCATGTAACAAAACAGGACTTCCTTCAGTTGCAGATCTTCTCGCTAATCCGTATGTATACTTATTGCATGTTTAAAGAAGTTTAGAATACGATGTAACAAAATAATTACTTATTACAGTATTACCAGGGAACTGACTAGTTTATTTGGGGATAGATTTGTTGAATGTGGTGCCGCGAGGGAAAATTTTCTTTAACCAATCAGAACACTACCTAGAACTGGGTAGTAACATGTCATCGGTATGGAATTTCTACTTTCGTTCTTCAGTCATCATTTCGCGGGGAAGCCAGTGGTGCCTTCACGAAGTGTCGGTTGTTTTCTCAGGCTAATATTCTGTTGGTCACTTCAATGTCAAGTCAAAACCTGGATCAAAATTCAATAATTATAATTATCCTTGAATAAGAGTCACTGTGGGAGAGAAAACATTTTAAAAATGTCCCCAAAACAATGTGTATGGTGTTTATCCCTTTGTACCGGAATTTCAAGAAAGAGAGTGTATGCTATATATCTCGTTCCTTAAGCGGTAATGAGACGAAACAAGGAGGATATAATGGACTAAATGTGTTAGATATCTTGTTCTTTAAGCGATTGTGAGACGAAACAAGCGGGATAAAATATGTGAAACATATATCTCGTTCTTTAAGCGATTATGAGACGAAACAATCGCGATAAAGATGTTAGGATATTATTTAGCATAATACATAATTGGGCGACGTGACTCAGCATTCCGGGCAACTTAACTAAAAATTTCGGGCGACGATGACGTTTGGGCGACTTGACCGTAAACCCACTAGGGGTTGTCACCGGAAAAAAACAACAAGTAAGGAGAGAATCAAACAGCCAGCCGAGAGATTTCTTTTGTTTCTTCATGTATTTTTGTTATATTTTCCTGTGGAAGTAGCCGGGAGTTGCGTTCATGGTAGCCGGAGAAGATTCCCAGCCACCGGCCCTTAATAATAGCCCCCTGGCATTTAATTATTTATTCATTTTGTTATGTTACTGAATTATCTTTATGCTCCTCTGGCAGGTTCTTTACAGCCATAGACCTCCCCTCTACCGACAAGCCTCAACTAAAGGTATAATCCTTCACATTGACTATAGGACTTACAATGAGGGACAAAAGTGTTGAGACATTTCCGTAAAATGGCCCCTTTTTGCATATTAGACATACCTATCCCCTTCCCCTGTCTACCCCAACCCCTTCCCCCCAAAATCAATGTTGTATTTTTGGACCCTCAAGTCTTAAAAAATGTTTGATAAAAGCACCCATTTTAAACAAGTGTGTCAACTACTTTTGTCTGTGATTGTAGGTCTTCTTGTCGTTGTACTCGTATTTACAAATAAATCATTTTTATTTTTGTATCGGAACAAGCACTCAACTCACGGGATATGAAAGTGAATAGGATTCAGAACGGTTAATTGATAGCTATGGCTTATTTAGTATTAGCAAATCAAATGAAATCAGTATCCCCTCCCTCATCCTCCCCAACCTCACCACACCCCTTATCTTGCCCTACCTCTCGCGTTCAGTTTTAAGGTTATTGGTCAAGTCACCCGAAAGTCATCTCGCCCGAAGTTTTGTCCCCCGAAATGCTGAGTCATGTCGCCCGAAATTTTAATAAAGAGTGCATGTGATATATCTCGTCTTTAAGAGATGATGAGACGAAACAAGCGCGATAGAGATGCTAGGATGTTGGTGAGCACCATAAAATTTCGGGCGACATAACTCGACATTTCGGGCGACTAAACGAAACATTTTGGGGGATATAACTCTAGTTTTGGGCGAGATGGGTTTCGGGCGGTTTGTCCGTAAACCAATTTTAACAGTCGCCTACAGATCAGTTAGCACTTGCACACACAAACACAGGGTCCAGAGGAGTTTCGTGTGAATTTTACTTAATGAATGGAACTTTTTACAGATATGGACAGCGAATCGTGCTAATTAATCGGGTTACCCTAGAAATATTTAGATGACATTTGCTAAAGAAGCGAAGAAATCTGACCCAGATCGACTTTTGAAAAAATCAATAACCGCAAGCCATATCCTCGCTGGCGCACGGCACGTCGCCCGAAGGGTGATCGAAGGCCGTCGCCCGGAGGGCGACCGAGGCACGAAGTGCCGAGTAAAAGAAAGGACAATTTGTTTCCTCCCTTTCCGTATTTTATACTGTAAGCCGATCTTGCGAGCCCTCAGTCTCTTGGTTTGCGGTCTATAGAATGTGTAACGAAACCGTAACGCGATCAAAATGACCCATTTTTTCAGAGGTTTTCGACGGGTTTTGATGTTCTAACGACAAACACATCTCCTCTGGACCCTGTGACACAAACATAGAACGTGCACATTATACGTCTCTCCAAGCCTTATTGTTTCTTGTTTATCGTAGATCCCAAGTAAATTAAAAGAAGCTATCAAAGCAGCCAAAGAACGTGCAGAAACGAAGCTGAAGGAAGATCAGAAGCTTGTAAGTTGGATCAAACTTTTAACACCTCATGACTGATTCTAAATTACCAAGGTAGCTGTCCGATCAGCCTTGCGTTAATTTATAGCGGAGCTCCACAGCTAAGGAAATGTGGAAATCTACCCATCCGAGAAAATTTGGTACTCACTGGACTTTTAGAAAGAAAATACAACAACAAAGTCTTGTCTTTTTCGGCGTATTTTTTATGTTTACACAAATGTGGATAACAGAGGAAGCTAGAGCGAGTTATTGAAAACAAAGGAGACTAATCTCGTAAAAAGAAAAAAATAACTCAATCAGCAGGTATGGCCACCCAAATGCAACTGAAGGTTATTTTGGCGGGAAAATCGCATAGCCACCCGAGCCTTGTAAAGCAGAGACAACTAAAGAGTCAATAAAGATGTAAACGGAAAGCGGAATTATTTTCTCTATCCGTGTTGTCTAAAGTATTAAGCTTAGATAAATTGTCATGTCCACAAATTTGGAATATAGAGCAAGGGAAAGTCAGAGAAAAAGAGAAAGGAGGCGGCAGGCCAGCGAAGCTTAACGAGAAAAAAAAGGGCGACAGAGATCTTGAGCGAGAGATAAAAACAAAGGAGACATTTTTCTGTTGGAAGAACAACATGAAATTTTGTAGCGGCGGTGACAAAATGAGGAATGCTAGCGGCCACCAATGCAAGGTGAAAATGAGCGGCAGTGAAAAAAAAGTGAACGAGAACACGTATGACATTTCCTCCCAAAAACGTGTAAATAAGAAGTTTCTGGAAGTTTCACGTTGTAGTCGTGCAAAACAACGGCAAAGAAATGTACAAAAAAAAGTGTGCTGCTCGTGCAAAGTTGCTTTTTTGCTAATTAGACCTGTTGTTGTTTTTTTACTGTTCTCCGACGTTGCCTTTCCCGCTTAGCATTACACGATTTTATATTTTGTTTGAACAAACTATAAATGTTACCGAGAGCTTTGCTTTTATCCCTGGCTAAATCTATATATTATATATTGCTGATCGTGATCTACACCAAGATCCATTTGACATTCAAATAAACACATGTTCTTTAAACCTCCTAGCTACTTTGCCACAAGACCTATGCCACTATCACGTAAATTATTCTTTAAAAAGTAGCCGTTTGAGTTCATCTGATGGAGTACTTCTACCTCACTTTTGACTGTTTTTATTTTCATCAGTTACGGCAGTTTCGTAGAGCATCTAAAGCGCATGCTCATCACATGTCGGAAGAGGAAAAGAAAAAAAGAAAGAAGTCTCTAAAGAAGGTAACAGCTAGACCCTATCAGTGCCGGATCCAGACCTTGATATAAGGGGGTGGGGGACGGTCATCCAGACCCTGAGATAAAGGGGGGTCCGGTCTCCAATTTTTTTTGTTGGCCCTTGGGGCCTCAGTTTGGTCTAAAAATAGGTGGGCGGGGCGAGGGCGGGGGCAGGCCCCTTCCCTGGATCCGCCACTGCTATCTCTCCCTCAGATTCTTACTTGTTACTAGCATCGCCGGGGCCTTCCTTAGGGACCCGAGGAGAAAGGAGATTTTATTTTTCTCTCCTTTTCGCTTCTCTGTTCCCCATTCCCTCCATAAACGCCTACTCAGGTTGACTTGCTTCCTGTTTGTTCCAGAAGGAAGTAGACCTCCTGAGTAGACTCAGTTGGAGCACTTTCTTCCTTTTTCCATTCTTTTTTCTTTCTTCCTTTCATTCCCTTCTCATTTTTTACCCTGATTTTAAAGTGTCGTTCTTCAATATTTTCCTTTTTTATTCCTTATAGTTACAGAAGGAATCTTCGATATCAGATGCGTCACAGGCGGCAGGTGAGAAAACTATAAAACACGATATGCACGCTTGAGTTTCTCAGGAAATATGTGTAGTCACAGGGCTTTCGCTTTGCTTATAAGTATAACCTGTCTTTACCCTCGGCAGTTTATAAAGCAAAAGTAAGAAAACACAAATAGGACCATGCAAATAAGTCAACCGAGTACAGTTTAAATATATATAACAAGGTAGAGAAATCCAGGCGGTTGAAGCCAAGCCAGTGGGCTGTTCACGGACTTGGACGAGGAGTTGAATTCGGAACCAGAATCGAGAAACAGCTTTGAGTCTGTTTTTGTTTGATAATTTATAAATTGTTAAAGATTCTCGCGGAGACTTATCTCGCATGCCTCTTTTTTAGCAAGCGTTCTTTTCACTCTTGCTTCTGCGCTCGCCCGCTTGGCAGTCCCCGTGGCTGGCAGTCTCAAATCAACGCAAACACGGAAATCCTTTAGTTATTGATTTTAACTGTTTTAATGTGTCACATTTTTGTAGCTCGTCCATCTTCCCCTCCACCTTCCCGGCCAGCAACTAATGGTAAGTGGGCTTCTTCCCGTCGATTCTGTGTAAGTAACGCTTTTTACCTGGGCTTCCTGTGTCCAGCCTTCATTTTTGGCCATAAAACCTTACTACTTGGGACTCTAATGCGCCTGCGCACATTTCTGCGGAAATTGATTTGAGCACCGGCTCATTCGCCACTTGCACATTTCGGGTATCTTGTTTGCTCCACAAAATTTTCAATAAGCATTGTTTTGAATTTCTCTTGACTATAACACCCAGGGGAAATTGGAAACAATGGCTATGCAAAATTTTACGGGACAAACAGTGCATTATGATCTATATGAAAATGGTGAAAGGACAATAGTCATAATGGGTTGGTCTCTGTCAGTGAACGTTCACACAATATGTTTGTGTGTGTTTGTCTAATTTCACTTTGATAAACTGATTTAATCAAATCCTGTTCACGATGTTTGTTGGGTGTGTGTTAAGCCTTAGTCACGCCAGTCAATGAAAAAACCAAATCTTCGCGCGATGCGCCTGTTTATTTAAGGAAGAACCAAGAGAAAAGTAACAATGAAAAATGTCAGACAGAAAGTCCTTTATGTGCTTGTCCAGAAAATACTTTCTGGCAAGGAATTAACACATTTTGCCCTTCTCATTTTTCAGCGTCGGTGCCACTCCCTCCCCAGGCCCCAGCTCAGCCTCCCCCTCCTCCCTCTCCGTCTAAGGCGCCTGCGCAGAAAACGTCTATGCGGCCTAAAACATCAGAACGAGGTGCGTTGTTGAGCTCTATCTGCGATTTTAAAAAGGGTGGATTGAAGAAAACTGAAACCAATGACAAAAGTAAACCGAGGATATGAGATGCTGATTAAGAAACAAGACAATGTAATGATGTACTCCTATCAAGGTCAATCATCATCTTAATCGCCAGTTTAGGTCGGAACACACTAGGCGACAATTTGCAATAACATGTCGCGGCGACACGTGTGTACTGGACGATTTTTGCGAAAATCTTTGTCACCGCAACATGTCGCCAAAAAATCAGATCAGACAAAATTGCGGCGACAAAATTCTGTTGCAGAGAAAATTTTTCACCAAAAAATATCCTGTACACACGAAGCCATTTTTCCCTGCGATGCGTCGCAGGGACAACTTGTTGCTGCAACTACTCGCACGACCTGCACACAAGGAGTGATCCTGTCTCCACGACGTGTTGCTGCAACTCATCGCCTAGTGTGTTTCGCCCTTTTTGCTCTATTAGTGATCAGGGCTCCTGAAATTTTCTATTCTCGGTTTGCAACCATGTGACAAGGCGGCCATGTTGATGCACAGTACAATAAAAAATTTTTTGAAGAATTAACGTGAAAACAGTGTACGTCTCCCCGATTGCCGCCGTTACGTCACGTGCAAAAAAAGCAATACGATACTGAAAGTTCATTATTTTACAAGGAGACAAAATTATTTGTGAGGTCGTCAATTTTGTAAAGAGATTTAGGGACAGTTTATTGGGACGGGACACTCGAGTGAACCCGCGTTGATTAAGCGTGAGTATCCCGCAGGGGTTCAGATTGGCTGTCCATCGATCCCAGAAGATAAATATTGAGTTAGTGATTTTATTTTTATTTAAATATTCTTTAGAGAGAGAGTCTGCTTTAATACTTAACTTGTTTCGTCTTGTTTCCCATTCCGTTATTCTCATTTTTACTCCACATTCCGCAGTTGTTTGTGATATCAAAAACTAAATTGTAGAGGAAAGGTTTATATTATATATAACGAACTCTGACAAATTGTACGTTACTTGATGTGAAAAACACTAGTTAACCTGATCACCAGTGGACAGATTAAACGCAAACTTGCCAAGTTAACCAACACTTTAATATAGAAGCTCTCCTTTCACAGTTTCTCTTTACAGAATTTACAGATTGCAAATTCTATCGCGAGGTCTGTTACTTATGTAAAGTAGCCTGCGAGCAAGCTCTCCTGTTTGCGCGAGCGAAGCGAGTCTCGCGAGAACGCCCCTCGCGGCTTCGCCGCTCGTTCGTGCGTTCTCGCGAGACTCGCTTCGCTCGCCCAAATAGGAGATCTTGCTCGCAGGCTATATGTAAAGGGGAAGACAGTTTGAATTTATAGCGAGAGAATCAAGTCATGTACATCATCTTTGTAATAAATACAGTATTAAATCGCATGAATATACGAGGTATGCAAAAGTTCATTAGTCAAAGACGTTGTGTCGTTAAGTTGATTTTAAAATAAAGTTTGAATCTACCCACACGAGCTCATATACAACTATTTCTAGAAAGGTTGTCGGAAAAACTGTGCACGCGACAGTCCCGAGAGGTATTATGGGATATGATCAATACACTGTTCATGACACTGTAGCTGTCGAACCTACTTTTATTGCTTTCCTTTAGCACTCGCAAACATAGCAGGTACCGGAGAGAACGGTAACAAACTTTAAAGAAACTTTTTGTCACTTGATTTTTGGTGGGTGTTATGGAAAGCCGATTGTCGCGTGCACTTTTTCCGACAACCTTTCTCGAAATAGCTGTATAATAGTTGCTACATGGTGCCAGGGAAGAGAAGCGAGAAAACCCGAGCGGTAAGAGTAGGCGCGGGTTTTTACTCTTGTGTGCGTTTTGCTGGAGAAAGTTCAAGAGGCATTCAATGTAGAACCCAGATTATTTCATCCACTCACTGAAGAGCGAGAATACAAGCTTGGGTCCAAGCACCTTCTCCCTTTTCAACCAAAACTTGTCCTGTTCAATGACGTCATCATTTGGTGGAACCAGCGGAGAGTGTCTGGGGACTCCGGACTCCTTATTTAACCTCTTTACACACCGGCCCATCAGACCGAAGACGAAACTGTTAACATTAATTGTACAGGAAATAGTCGTTAAGATACTAAAGCGTTTTAGTATCTTAATGACTATTTTCTATACAACTCATTTTTTTACCACTGAAGTATCGCATGCGTATCTTACTACAGTAGAAAATAATAAGTAGCGGTAAAGAAGGTTGCATTATGATTGGCTGTGAAACACTAAGTTCCAACAATGAACAAAAGTTTTGACCCCTCAATTAAAAATTACCCGGATCCGTCCATGCTCTGTCTTCCAAGGTTCTTTAATCCATTCCAATCCTAAATTGCTGGAAATCCTACTCAATTCTCAGGGGATAAGAGTTTGTAGACGTGAAAAAAAGCTGTGATCTTGGTCTTAAGCGTGAAAATAACGAAGTAATACTACGACAATAACCACTCCATTACTGACCAATTTGTATAGATTTGACATATTGAGATATAAGAACAAAGCTTACTGCACGAAGAGTAGACTAATTACAGTAACTAAAGCTTAGTTATTCATGATATATGATGCGAAGTAATGAAAATGTATAATACAAGTCACTAATATGTATTCTTTTCCTTTCCGTCTTAAACTAGGAAAACACGAGATTTTAGGGATAGATGATCGACTTACACGTGATCAAATGAATGAAATGAAAACGAAAAGACAGAAATGGCATGCCGTCATTTCCTCGTAAAAATAAAAGAAAAAAAACACTCTAGCTATGAATATGCATAGAATTAAACTATCAAAGAAACAAAGCGTAAGCTTATACACGGTCAACCTCTAAAATTCGGAAGTAATGTCGTTTGAAAACCCTCAAAAATATACACTAAATATGCGTAAACACCATTGCAATTCAAAAGCTACGCATCTACTCGATACTAATTACCGTACTATCTAAACTAATTTTTCTTTTAAAAACTACATTTTAATATTGTATAAATCTTTGAATATGATGTATTTTATCCGGCTTCGTCTACCGTAGACAAGCTGCTCGGCTAACATCAAGCAATTGCGCCATATAACAAGTCCTCCCACATTTTAAAAAAATTTAAACCAGCCCTCAAGGCGGTCATCTTAACGAACATAGTGCTACATAAGCTAAGTTAACAAAATGCCGAAAAACGTTTCGTAGAATTCCGAGAGCAACGGTTACATCAACCTCAAACAGGGTGCAACCTTTACTAGGGCATCTTACCCCTGTAAAATTCGCGTTTCTCCTACGTCATGCTGAGTGATGGTCCGGCAAAAACAGATGATAATATCACATGAAACTGTTTGAAAGCTTTAGCGATTTATCTTGGGACCAGGCTCTACAGTGGGGGAAAAGGTAAAAAAAAAAAAAAGAAAAACGGGGAGTCTGAGGAGGGGGATAAGGGCGCCGCCCTTTCCCCCTCCCGGCCAGTCCATCGCTCGGCTCCCTTCGCTCGCCGATTTTTTGTTCTTGTTTCATACCGTTGTTTTTTTCTGTTTTTGTTCTTGTTTTTGCCTTATTCCCAACTACGGAGCCTGTGCTCAGGCAAACTCTTTTTTCCCTTTCTAAATTTAAATTAGCCATCTTTGGATAAATGTGTTGCAAATAATAGCGGCTCGAAAAGGTAACGCGAACGTTGGGGTCCTTGCTTAAATGGAAGATTGTAATGGTAGCTGGAACCCATTCTGTCGGAATCCTACGATACAAAGTCCCTAACCTAACCTTCTAATCAGTTTCTACCTCTTGTTTAACTGTGCCTTCCATATTGAGCAAGGCTTCCGGTGACTTGAACCCGCCTGACTCTTCTACCTCCATGTCTTGACCCGCTTCCGGAAACAAATCTTCCTTCAAGTCATCCTTCGCACCTCCTTCTACATCCGGTTGCTCCACTTCCGCTTCATTGCCTTCTCCAATCACAGCTTCATCTTCAGCCACCCCTGAGCTGCTCTGTCCTGCCTCTGTCACTTCCTTTTCCTTGTTCTCGGGCGAAGAGCTGTTTTCGGAGATGCTGGACAGCGTGGTCGACCCCGCGTTCGACGCTTTTTGCTTAGCGTGCCAGCGTTTGTGCTTGTTAAAATTCGACGGGTCGCTAAACTTTCTCGGGCATTCCTTGCATTTGAACGGGCGATCCCCGGTGTGAACTCGAACGTGTATTTTAAGACTGCTAGAGCTGAAAAACGTTTTAGTGCAATGGTCGCATTTGTACTTCTTCTCGCCAGAGTGTTTCAGAAGGTGAGACTTTAGCGAAGTGTACTTGGTGAAGATCGCATTACACTCATCACAAGTGTAGGTTTTGCCGTGCCGCTCAGATCGCTCGGCGCCTTCGGTCGCATCGCCTACAAAAAGAACACCAAACAATATAGTAATTATTTCTCGGAAACGCGTAACTACCCGGATTTCAACATTAGCGAGCAAAATGCTTTATGCACTGTGACGTAACGAGTGTAGTGACTGACTCTGTGAAATTTTTCTCCCTTTAGTCTCGATTACCGAATGTTACTAGAACGGGGAACGAAGAGCGGGGAACGAGCAAGTGGGGGACAGGGAAATGAAAAATGGGAAACAAGTTTAACTTGAACCCTAGCCCTATCAGTAACTTCATTTCCAACTCCCTGCTTTCTTCTCATTCTTCATTTTCCCTTTCCCCGTACTCGTTCCCCCGCTCTCTTGGTCCTCCGGTTCGAGGAAGGAGCGCGGGCTCATTTTCCGAACAGCGGCTGGTGATAGAGCCTATATTCTTCTCTGCCGTCTCTAAAATTCAATACCATTTTTTACCTTTTGCCATGATATGTTGGCCGCCGTCTTGGAGTTCACATACGTGTAGTCTCAGTTGTTCCGCTTCGAAGAAGGACGCGCTACATCGTGAACAGCTGTAAGGTTTCTCGGAGTTGTCTTCCTGAGTGTGCGACAAAAGATGTACTTTTAGCCGATCTCCTCTAGTGTACTGCTTGCCACAAAAGTGACACACGTGTGGCTTTTGGCCGCTATGACGTAGCATGTGACGTTTCAAGTCTACGGCCTGAGTGAAACGGCGGGAGCACACGTGACATTCAAAGGGCCTCGCTCCCGTGTGGACCAAAAGATGACGTTTCAGCCGGCTGGAGAACGAAAATTCTTTATCACACTTTTTACAGCGATAAATCTTTTGGCCCGAAGAGGTGACAATCTCGTCAGTTAGCTCTTCTTCCGTCAGACCGGTCTCCTTTGCTCTTACAGGTCGACCTGAATGCGGTTAAGTTAGAAAACATAAACAACATCAGTTGAGGCAGTGCAGACGACCCGTGGGATAAGCTAGATGGTAGAGTGCTAGCCTGAGATAACAGCCGACACAGCCCAGACCTGGGTAGCTCTTCTGACTGGTGGAAAATTTCCTTCAACCAATAAGAGGCACTACTTAGAATTAAGTGGTGAAGCGTCATCCGTATGGAATTTCTACGCTCGTTCCTCAGACGCCAATTTGCTGGGAGACCAGTGGTTGCGTCGCAAAATGTCGACTGTTTTCTCAGGTTAGTCAAGGGCCCATAACCCGGAGCGAGCAACTTCCATGCGCTCGTGTCACGGCGTTTTCAAGGACCAGTTTATTTTTAGAACGGTTTTGGCGCGAGTTTTGAATATCTTTTAAATTCCATAAACCAGTCAGCAAAATTTTCAGACCTAAAAATGATATTTTTGTCTTTTAATAACGATTAGTTTTCCTTTTTGATATCTTATACTTCGAATATGCTCATAGACATGGTGGAGATTCTATTTTCGCGGGAAAAAGTGCCCTAAAATGTGTCTAAAAATAAACTGGTCCTTAAACACGCCGTGACATAGGCCTAGTATGGGAGTTGCTCGCGCCGGGTTATGGGCTCCTTGGTTAGTAGAGTGCCGATAGGTCTGTTAAGCGGAGGTCGCGGGTTTGAGCCCCGGCAGGTCCAATGACCAGACTAATATTACGCTGTGATAAAGAGGTCGCCTCAGTTCATAATAATTACTTTAGTGGGAAGTGACGTTAGCCGTTAGCCTCGCCTCCTTCAAACTAAGGATGCAGCGTGGCCAAGTGGTGCGTTTGAGTCCCCACCTGACCAATTCCTGAATTTATCTCTCGGCATCCCTGATTTAGCCAGCGTAGCCGTCGTTTTCGTTCCTTTTAGCCAAGCAGGAAAAGCGCGAGAGACGGGAAAACTGCCCACCTACCTACCCCTCCCCTAAGCCAACATTAAAGCTTACTTTACGTTTGGGGAAAAATGTTTGGTTAGGGTAGGGGTAGGTGGGCAGTTTCCCAGAACCCTAACTTGATACACTCTCTCTACTGTTTATTCTTTTTTAAAATTTCGGGCAACTTCCTTCCGGTATTTGTAAATATTTAACTTTGGGACGAGGCTAACCGTTTATCATTCTGTCACTAGTGTTTGCATTCAGCGGTATTTTTTACCACTAAAATGGACTTTTGAAGAACTCCAAACAACCTGATAGGTCGCCCCTTTTATATAGGCGCTGAGGGCTGTGCCACGTTTTGTCTCAATTTTGTTAATAGTGTCAATTACACGCCCTTATTTGCTATGAAACTTGAGAAATTACTTGTAAATGACAAAATCATACACCTCTTTCATACTGGTTGACCTCGTTAGCATGTGCAAAATACAAAAGAATTCTTACTTTCAAACGAGGTCAGAGAGGTTAATTATCATACGTATAAAAGAGTATATTAATAGGCCGCCATGAGGAAGGAGGTCTATAGCTTTGTGTGTCAAACAAACTTGTCTCCCAAACTGCTTGGCAAACAAATTTTCAAAAAGCACAATTGCAATCCGTTTCAATCTTCTTTAAGCTTGTCCATCCGTGTCTCTCTTTGTATTGTACGTGTTATTTACACTTTTATTTTATTTCATTTTTTTTATATACCGGTAATTTTTATTTCACTCGGTTTTGTGACGGTTCCCACACTTTGAATTTTGGTACACCTCGTGACATGGCTCCTTTGAGTTTAAGCAGCAACGTTTTTGAGCGACGAACGTCAACCGGAAGTGAGCGTTTTTCTCTTTTAATATATCGTGACGCTACCAAATTTGTATTACTAAGTGTCTTTACTCTTAAAGAGAAGTTTTGCCTAAGAATTTGTTCAAAATCACGGCTGAAGAGTGCAAAAAGTCCACTTCCGGTTGACGTGCATCGTTCAAAAACGTCGTTGCTCAAACTCCATAATAACTGGCATCTAGACAGTATCCATGGTTACACACCTCGGTCCTTAAGATGTACTACCAAGGGTGGTGGGTGCTGTCCCAGGGCGTTCTTACTCCTTGTCATGTGAATTGGAGGTGGGGGAGGGGGTGGAGCAGACACAGGCTGAATTTCCGCAGGCATCCCTCGTAACCTCGGCCCAGTCCACTGTGGGGGTTCCATAGGTGGCGGGTTAAGAGTGGGGCCTTGGGATGACTGACTAGGGTGGTGAAGAGGAAGAGTCGTTATAGGAACTGGGTTTACCACAGGGGTGGACTGAGGCAGCGGTGCATAAACATTGGTAGTGGCCATAGTGGACTGGTTAGCAAGCGCATTTTCGCCGGGTTGCTCGTTTACTGTTCCATTCCACATCTGGAAGTTTGGCGTCGGTTGAACCACAACAGGACTGTGCGAGCGGAGGGCTTCAGCGACCGAGATGCTAACTACAGGGTTGGAGAAGTCATGGTAGTTGGACGTGGGTGGAGCTTCTATGTGCACAGGAAACGGACCCGAAGGAGGTACAGTGTACGTTTGTTCTGGAACGACCACGGGGATGTCTGGACTCACAGATTCACCTTCAGATGAGAAGTTTGATACCCTTCTTGCTACTCCCTTCCTGTCATGCTTCCTGCAGAAAAGAAAAAAACAAACTGAAAACAAAGCAAGTGAATTGACGCCATGGAAAAACACTCGGGAGCTTGAGCAACGACTACGGTGACAGCAACGAGAACGGCAAATAGTAATAAGTTTGATATGCTAAACAACAACTCTGTACGTACATCATGCTTTTTGGAACACTTCTTTGCGGTTGTTGCACAATTCCTAGTTTAAAAATATGAGACTGTGAACAGTCTGGAAAAAAGGCTGAAACTGGAAAAATCAACCATGAGGCAAGAAGGGACCAACGAAGGACTGATATTCTTCCAGTTTATTACTCTAAAGCTCGTCTTGGATAAAGGCTATAGCAACCGTGTTAAAACATACCTTTTGGTTGGGCTATGGGCAGAGTTTTGGTCATCAGGACTGTCCAGGCTCTGGAGAAAAACCAAGCTGTTTCAGAAACTGGCTTCAATTGCCAACTAACTAAAATAAAAGTCAACTCCATTTGTAGCGGACACTGTAGGGAACTTGAGTTAGTGTCTTCATTAGCGGGAGTCCGTAATTGCGGAAGTTTATTTCAGTCAAACATCTCTTTTTTTGCAGGGGAATTAGCTGCTGTCCGTATTATCGGGGTGTCCGTTCTAGCGGGGTGTCCGCAAGGCGAGAATTTTTCCTTCATTATTTTCGCAAATCTGCCGCTCCAAACTCTGAATGGAAACTGGAAACAAGTGGAATTTTTACGCTGGGAATGCTGGACTCACTTAGGTCACTAATTGTTTTGACAGGTCGTTGGTTTCCAATGACAACTGTTGTCCAATCACAAACTATCTTAGTAATCTCAGTACTAAATATGGGTACCCTGTCTTCTCACTCGGCAAAGTTTTTAGAGTAGTGTATTGCTAGGCTACGGTAGCCTTCTCCAGGCGATCATCAGGTAGTGGAGACGGCGCAAACAAAAGTGAACAAGAAAAACAGCATAGCCTGCGTAGCAGGCGCTTGGAAGTAGTGGGTGAAAGAGAGAACGGGCGCGCGAGAGAGACACGCGAGGGGTGAGGGAGCTCCCTCTCCCCTCGCGTGTCTCCTTCTCGCGCGCCCGTTTTTTCTTGTGCCCACTACTTCCAAGCCCCTGCTAGGCAGGCTAAAAACAGCACTTCCTACCTCACCTTTCCTTTCTTCCGCGTTTTTGTTTTGTTTGTTTTTTCTCCGCTCTTCATTCCGGGACCCTTCCCACTATTTGAATGCCTGGAATAAGCTAAGGCTATGGAGGTGGTCTAGGGGAATTTTCGATGCTCTAATGATAACTGAGAGGAAAAGTCTCCGCTATTTTACATACTTGGCACGATTTTCTCCTCCCCTTAAAATAACCTAGTAAGGCTCTACCAATTTACCTCTCCGTTAGTGACAGGGGTGACAACCCTTTGTGCTTGAAGTTGAACACAATCCTTGGCAGCTTTGTGTTTTAAGTACTTCTGTAAACTGATGAACATTTGCTTGCATTTGCCACATTGGAAGAGATCAGGTTCAGCATCCTCTCCATCAGACTCATTTCCTAAGAGGCGAGAAAAATGTAAGATCAATACACAAGAACCAGAGCGCAAAAGTACCCCTAACGCGCCCGAGGATTACCCCCCCCCCCCCGGGGAACGGGGGGTACTCTGGATTCCATATAAATGTGAAGGGGATGCTCTTCGGAAAATTAAACATTGTCTTTCCTGGGACCCTTGGGAAGGATACAGGTACAACCCCCCCCCCACACACCCACTTTCCAAAAGGGAAAGAAAAAGTAAAAAACAAAAACCAAAAACCAGGCCCCAAAAGGCCCCCTAACGCCCCCGGGGTTTCCCCCCCCCCCCCCCGGGGAACGGGGGGTACTCTGGATTCCATATAAATGTGAAGGGGATGCTCTTCGGAAAATTCAAATTAAACCCCTAAGGGAGACCAATGTGGGTGTGCCTTAAGTTTAAACTGAGCCCTTATGGAGATTTCTGTGTGGTCACTGTCAGGGCATTTTTTGTAAATTTCTCTATGCACAGTAGTAAGCGATACCTAAATGGGCGAATATAGTGGCTTTCTATCCCAAACACCCTAAGTGAGACCAAAATCTGCAATTTACACCCCAAAGCGCCGAGACGACGAGCATGCCCGTCACTTTTATATGGAATCCCCTCCCCCCGGATTTACTTTCCCCTTCCGCCTCTCTAGCGCCCATGGCCACTGAGGTAGTTAAATCTTCACAGGAAAGCGCTACTCACTATATTTCTTGTACCAGGTTAGGGGTACCCAACGACGATTTCCTCCTAAATACATTGTAAACACTTTTTAGGCCATCTAGAGTACTTGCAATCCAAGCTGCGCTTTAAAGTTTGTATCTGCTCGGTCATCCTAGGGCAACTTGAGTCTTTTCGAAATTACAAGCGAGGACTTCGGTACTATTTCCCCGAAAATTTAAGATGCAATTTGAAGCTTTACCAAGGTTTCAATTTTATGTATTCCTCTTTCCATCAATTTTTCAAATCCAATAATATTACGTTTTCTTTTTCTTCAAAATCGAAATGTGGTTAAACTTCAGTAAATCGTAGGGAATATATAGACTAGATAAGCTTCGAAAATCGTACAAAAGGAACAGTCACCGAGAAATTTTTAGCGGTTCTCAACCTATAGCAAATTCGAGGCAATATTTGATTCTTCGAACAGATATTTCAGAGAAAACGGTTGTTGGTCTTTGGGTGTCCCTGAAAGGTTACAGTTCGAAATTTTATTGAAAGTCCCTGGACCCTCAGGTCAAAGTAATGACCAAGACATGATCACTATAAGATAAGAATAGTCGCATTCTATCATTCCACCCATATAAACAACTGGGAACGAGCCTGCTACAGACCTATCTACACGCGTATACAACACCAGACGCTTTGCGTGAACCACCGTCGCGAGGGAATACATGTCCAGTGGCCTGACCGTTATTTAATGGGCGCATTCAAACGTTGATCCGGACTAATTCTCTTATATATAATCGGCTGGTTTTAATTTGCCGGCGAATCAAAAATGTTCCCATAATTATTAATACATTAAAGCCACAGGTATGAACAGAAATGCGCCCGGTCTATACGTTGGGTCAACTAGTCGACGTATAAAATTCAAGCACCACGTATGAATAAAAGATCGAGATCATAGTTTATTCTTGAAGCTATAATTTTATAGAAATTGAGTGCAGGGAATTGTAGTAAATAAGTTTGTGACTAATACTTCGTTTTAAAAATGTGCAAAGCAGAATATGAAGTCCTAATCTCAGAGTATAATCTCATTGGCTAGTCACAAGTACTACATCTTTCTTTTTCCTGTCATTTATAATCACTACACAACTCGACTACAAAATGAAAATATGGCACTGTTGATCGTTGAGTTTGCGGACAAGGTCGACGAGTTGCAAAGCTGAATCCGGACAAAATCATTCATATGGTATGGGAATTAAAAGTTGCAAAAACTATTTCTGTAAACTCAAAAATTCACTCTTGATGGTGGGCAACGAAATTTTACTTATTTGTTTGGTAGCCTGGGCTACAGACAAACTGCCGATAAATTCAAATTATGATATGCTAATACATTCGAAAATAAGGACAACAAACGATCATTTTCAGAAAATTTAGCTGGGAAATGGCATTACAGTATTAGCGAATTGTCATAGGAACAACAACGAAACTGAGAACTGGTTTGGTGGGTTGGATGATATAATCGATCGATGGACACCAAACAAACATCGAGGACGCCAGGAAACCACACGATTAATACCAGGAAGCCGGAAAAATCTCGCAGGCCAAAAAGTGTAACAGCGATTTTATATCATGATCTAGAGACAAAACTTAAGAGACATAACTTAACAGCGCCTACCTGAGGCAAGATTTTCGAGATAATAACAGTGCATTGGAACCATATAAGCTTTTTACCCTTGTACTTCTTTCAGGACTTGCGTGCACAAACAGATATATTCACAAGATCGCCCAACAACTGAGTTTGGTCACTGGACAATAGGTTTTGCATATTGCATATTTCAATTCGTAATAATAAAGCTCCCATCCAAGACGAAACCAAGTAGAGAAGATCACGGAAAACGGCGTTTCAGTCTAAAAGTTGACTAGATTACTTTCTTTTTTCCCGGTAATTGCTGTATCTAAAAAGCAACTGCGTGTTTCATATTTCAGGAAAATACTTTCATGATCAGAGAAGTGTGATGACGAAATTAAAAATTCAGTTTGACAGCTGAATGCAAATGTATTTCACGCAGGTTTGCGGAAAAATCGTCATTAAGAAAGATAAAGATGGAAATGAAAAATAGGAACTACACGCCATCTCTAATGGTTTCATTGTTTTTCTTTACTAAGTGTTATTCTCGCTAAACTAGTTACCATAGTACGATAAAACATGACAAAACCAACATTTCAGGAACTTGACATATCGAACAAGGTATATTAACAAAGACTTTTTATTATGTTAATTATGCCCAGACAAAGCCTTAGCACCTAAACGACACATTAAAAAGCGACAAAGAATTTTAAAGAACACAGAACTAGCGGTAAAAGTTTTAGCCTGCGTAGCAAGGACATAAGGAAGCGTTTCCACATAAGAAGATTTAGACAACACGCTTGCTATACAGGCAAAATCAGTTTTGTCAAACAGCAGTGCGTCACCAGCTGGGATAACAAAGCCTCCTTTTTTTGTCTTCTTGATCGAGAAGGAGAAAAGGAAGTTCTACCTGAATCGCGCAGCCCGAACATTAGGACTAGTCAATCTTGTTTTCTTATTTTCTCTTCCAGCCAGTTTTTTAGTGCGAGCACCTGTTTATTGATAAACCGATGGTCAAAACTAAGCCCACTGTACCAAGGGCACGGCTATTAGGCCCGGGTAAGAAAAATGCAGAGAATGCTCAACAAGGATCTTACTCCAGTCATGCGGAGTCTTTTTGGAGTTCGCCAAAATCGAGAAAGCGAAAAGAAGTCTCCGCTGGCAGATGCTTAAAATTCGAACAGTCACGGCAACATCAGCTGATGATGTTTCACGGGCTATTAAAATGTTTGAAATAGCCAAAACAGTATTCAGCCAAAGAAAGACCAGCTCTCCAGAGCCTGAATATAAGCAAAGCCCTAACCTGTGTAGCAGGCGCCGGTTTGTTTTTTTGGGCGAAGGAAGAAGACTCGAGGACGCGCGAAGGGAGAGGAGGCATCCTCTCCCTTTCGCATGTTCCCCCGCGCGGGCTTTTAACAAAAATAAATGGCAGCTGCTACGCAGGCTAGAACGGCAGAGACGGAGGGAAAAACTACGATCAAGGTAGCCTGCGTAGCTGGCGGTATTGTGTGGGTGCGAGATTAAAGTTTTGGCGGCGGAGCCGTGTTCGACTATATTACAACGGCTCCGCCGCCAAATCTCACTCGACTGCTACACAATACCGCCAGCTACACGATCAAGGGTTCTTTTCGAACGAGAGCGAAAGTGAGTGGAGCCTGGTTGCTTGATTAATACAGGTCACGTGAATACACCAGGTTAGGGTTCCCGTTGAACACAGGGGCAAGTCTGCTATTGAACAAATCCCTGTTTAATCATGAGCCATTTGGTACGCCGTCTGCCAATTCAAAAGAAACTAAGTAGACGGCAGACCAGCAAAACGTAACTTCTCATTGTTTACAGAGGGTTCGCATACCGTAGTATTTTTCGAAAATATGTGTTTCTATTGCACGTACGTAAAAAGGAAAATATTATCAATGCTGAGTACTGGGTACTTTCTGAAAATCGCAAAAATTAATTCCCAGCAAGAAAAATTCCATCTGTCCGAATCGCAAAAATTAGTTCCCGCAAAACCCAAAAAAGAAAAAAAAAATGCTAATGCGCTAAAATAAACTCTCGCAAAATTTCCTGCCACATGGTAAATAGAGAACTCAATAGTGTTATATCAAGGACTCAGATCGTCTTTTGGTTTGTTTGTCGAGAAAAAGTAGAACAACTAGGCCAACAATGATATCCCATTGAGTGATAAGCCCTGGTCACCCAGGCATAGTTTTCGGGCCGACGTGATCATGCCGGGTGGTCGCTGACCGGAAACAGAAAACAAAAGAATATGTCAAACTGTTTCTTCTTGCCGGTTTCTTCTTGGTCTACCAATTTTCAGGGGTCGCGAACGTTTAAGAAATTTAAGTGGTGTTCGCTTACGAAAAAGAAAATGAAAAAAATGAAAAGAACGCTTGATCGAAGGTTACAGTATCGAGCAATTGACAGCCTCGACAACCGGTGAAATGGTTTCCTCCTTTGGAAGGAGACGGAAATTAGTTTTTAACACCGCTATCGTATCATGGTCGACAATGACCACGCCGGAAATTCAGACATCCATGAACTTGGTCCGAAAGGTACAGAGAAACAATTTCAATTATAAAACAAAAGAACAGAATTGTAGCAACATCCGACATATCAGGATTTGGTCCGAATTATAGCCAGTCTAACTGGGCAGACTAGCTGATACCATCTCAAGCAACATCAAGAGTGCGCCAGGAAGGAGACCAGGAATTGAAGGCTCCTAAGCACTCTCGATCAGTTTTCAGCACAGTAGTCTCTTAATTAAAATCAACGTACCGTAAAAAGCATACTTGAGAACGTAGCATATGTAGGAGCCTGATTCCCTTCCCATCTCAGTGTGTTTACAGCTCTTGCGTGCAAAGTAAAGCGACCGGAGCAAACGAAGGAATGACTGGTTTGCCAGTCGGCAACAAAGAAACGCGCAAAGAGAGCACGTGACCTGTCGGCTGTCGCCCTTGGACCTCACACTGGGCGGGGTCGGAATGTCCGAACGGAAATTCGTGTTAAAAAACAACCTATCATACCATGTTCCGGGTTTCGCGGCTGTTTTTCAGCAAGGACGGTTTTTTTGGGGGTATCCCCCGGGGGGGGGGGGGTACTACCATATATGTGGGCTATTATCCATACACGGCGACACTTCCCATACCAAAAGTTCGTCAAATGAGATCCTATCCCATATATTTAGTCTCGCAAACCGAGATCTTATCCCATAGTAAAAAGTCCTTTGACTAGTCAACCAAGAAGATTTATCTAGACTAGGGAAACAGCTACTCTAGGATAGGGGGGATTTGGGGAGTTTACTCTAGTATAGAGTAGCAAAATTCAGCTGAACTAGCTCTGGTATATATAGGTTAAGGATTCCGGGGTCTCAGCGGCACATTCCCACCCAGAAATTCCTAAAGTACCCCCCGGGGTGTATCATCTAGTGATTTTGCATCCATCGTGTTTATTGCGCGCTTGGCTTTATCGTCACGGGAATTCCCTTTTGCTTTAGTGAATTCTCCGGCGTGGAAATTCGGCATGCAGGGTTCTGGGAGTTAATTTTTGGTCCAAAGATTTTTCTGGGTTTTGATCCTTGCCTCCATCGACTCTCTCGCTCCAACTTTCGTGCAATAATTCAATGGTAAACGCTTGCTACGCAGGCTATCAGGACCGACTCCATTCCAATTGAGGAGTATCGGTTCACGGTTTGTTCCATGGCCAGATCGTTCCAAGCCATGGAACAATCTAACTTTAAAAAGTTAGATCGCTCCACAGTTTCAGTGCAACAGGCTCGATGTGAGGCGCGCTTTTTTGGCTTTTTGGCTACAAGAAACGAGGTATACTAATGAGTTATAACGCCCTTATTTGTGCTCGTAGTTTACCCATGGGTAAGGGACAGACTGGCGGGGGCGGGGAATTTTCACAGCTTCATGAATACATGTTATACATCTTCCCACCAGCCCCCCACCCCATAAGCGGAAGTAACCTTCCCGTCATCCCCTCCATCCCCTCCGTGTTCTTCCGGCGGCAAACTTAAATCCGCCATTTTCCTCCCGATGGATTCTTTTCCAGAGTTGTAGCCACATTTAAACAAAGGTGAGTTAAAACCCTTTACCAATTATTTTACTTTAATAGCAGGTTGGTCTGCAGCACTTTTGACCCGAAAATATTGAATACCTGGCTAAAAAGACTCAGTTTTTATTATTTCTTTAATAAAATATTCGAGTTGTTAGAAGCCCACAGATTCGATTGGATTCTTGGCGTCAAAATCGTGTTTGCTCTGAACTAAAAATAATAAATAATAAAATAAGACGTTTCGCTGGGAAATGTGGGCTGTTTCCTCAAGCTAGATTTATGAGCAGCTGTTCCCTTCTCTTACACGTAGTTAGTTGATCGAGCAAAACATACTAGGGGCAAATTTATAACGACCCATAATTGCATGTAATTGAAGGCACGCAGCCTCACAGTCACTTCTCACATCACTCTTTGACACTCACATATCATACTTGCCACTCAAGTGATAAAAATTTATCCCAAAAATAAGAGACCATTCACAGTCCAGCCAGGAATCAAATGTAGGGGCACTTTCCGTTAGACCAAAATTTCCAGATTTTTAAGAAATTAAAAACAAACAAATGGAACACAAATTTCCAGGCAACATTTGCCCAAGAAAAATGTGTCGCAAGGATAGTTAGGGGAATGTAAATATCCCTTTGTGTGTGAGTGTGTGTTCTGCATGTACACAGGCAGGTCCTTCCTTATAGTTCTCGATCTTTATGATTTGGGGATTGTCAGTAAGATTTTTTTCTTTTTCTTTTTTTAATTTGATTTTGTAAAGGGAAGTATTAACCCAATCAGTAATCATTTCAACAGGGGGTTGAGGGGTGGTAGTGAGGGGTGGGGGGTAGGTCAAGCCAAAAAACCCTTCATTGAGCATGGAGGGGGGTTACAGTTTTTTATAGTGTAACCTGATATCAGTGCAAATTATCTGTTTACTAGTAAATATGTGAATTTTGATGCAACTTTAATTCACAGTGCCCTGCGAGCAGAGGTTTATATCTGGCATGACTTTTAGTATTTTGTAAAGTTGTTTGCGTGGCATGAAAATGAACTAACTACGCAACTGACACACCTCATGAATGACTACCAGGGGGATACTCCCTTATGTAACCCAAATAGGTATGTGCCGCCCTAAAGAGTATGCTTTTGTGCCATTTTGGTCCAAAAACAGGTGGAGACAGCCCATTTTGGTCCAGAATCAGTGTGGCTTTCAAGGGAACTACAGCAGTGCATGAACATATTTATTGTTTCAATTCCAAGCGAATGAGAAAGAACTGACTAATGTGCAAATTTGTAATGGATTTAACAAATCTTTTTTGTTGGCAATCTAATCTAAGTAAACATGACACATTTTCTACCTACGTAAGGTCTTAAACAGGTGTGGAAATGACATTTTTTGGTCTGAAATACCTGGTCAGGATTGGAAGAACTGGGTGGGACCCCCCCCCCCCCCCCCCCCCCAAATAATCGCTGGCCCCCCCCCCGGCCCAAATTAAACAATATAATAAAACGCCCAGAGAAAAAACCCTTTTCTCGTGGGTGCGTATATTAAATGCGTACAAGATAAAAAAAAAAAAAAAGAAAACACCAAACCCCCCCACCACAAAACCCGGGACAGGGTTGTAAAACGCGGGGGGGCCCCCCCCCCCCCCCCCCACAAGAATTTCCAGGAGTACCCACCCGGAATGACTTTACAAATGCTTAAAGCCATGGCAGAAAGAAACCTCTGCTTGCAAGGTGCATGTAATTCACAGTGCCTAAAGGATATAAAAAAGCAAGTGACCAACAAACCTCCTCCAGAGCCAAGATGAAACATAACATTTGAGTGATCTATCCCTGAGATCTGGAAATGGATAAAGCAAAAAAATTGTAGCAAATAAGTACTTTGTGCATTACTTTACAAGTGTAATGGAAACCTAGAGGAGGAAGGAGGCAGGGGGGGGGGTGCCCATTACTTTAAATGTCGTAAGTTGGTACAGTGTATGTGCTGCCCAACAGGGCATGGTTTTCACTAACAAGGACTTGATTGTTAAACGGGGAATATACAATTTCATTACTCTGCATCCTGAAAAGGGTTGTAAATAGAGGTGTGTAAACAAAATTTTGAGCTCAAAATTTGTTGAATAATTCATTAACTCATTTCTTTGATGGCTAAAATTACTGGAAAAAAATAATATTAATTTACAATATGCTGTATCGAAGTTTGTTCATTTAACTTGATACTGTATTAAGTGAGAATTTTAGTTTGAGAACATATGCATGAATACAGAACTTTGTGCACAACATTTCACAATTAGTAAGAATAACAATTTCTCCTTTAATCAGGATCTGTAATAATATTATTAGAGTTTTTGTCAGGGAATTAAAAAAATGAATTGTGGCACAAAACTTAGTTTGCACTTCAAAGATGACGTAAGGGCTTTGTAATGATGGTCAGTAATATGATACGGTTATTTTTTAGTATTTTTATAACAGATCAGTAAATCCTAATGACAATAATATTAATTATTTTGATCAAAGAATTTAAAATATTATCTTAATTAATGTTGCTGTACCAGCCTCAAATTGTGCTTAAAATTTTTATATATCCAAAAATTATTTGTTGTATAGTAAACTAGTTGAAGTCGCTGAGGTATTCAATTCTACTTTTTGTGTCCTTAACGTTGAAAATCACAACAATTAATGCCAACAAAAATAACTGAAACTAACAAGAAGAAAGTGACCAGCTACCACATAATTAAACCTAGAAATTTGCTTGAAGCCAGTGTCATATTAAAATACATAATAATCATACAAATAACTAATAAATTATTCATACAGTGTACTCAGCAAAAACTGTCAACAGTGTATGGTGTGACCTAAGAGGCTAAAAGAGCCTGTTCTTTGTTGCTTAAAACCGTTTGCCTGAATCTAGTTCTTTACTTTTAAATTCTGCCAGAATATTTTGAAATCTCCCATGAGTCCCTTTAGTCATGAAAATAAAAACCTCAGCTTGCTTTTTAGGGCAAAATATTGTATCTCATTTCTGGGTTGCAACTCTAAAGAGCTATAGCCTACTGTTATTACCTTTTTGGTGGACCTATCTTTGCTGAAAACAGGCAAGTCAGATGACACTTCTGGTTTAGAGGTTTCAGTTCTTGACACTTACCGTCAAAATACTCAGTGTGTTCTGCTTATTATTGCATTTATGGTGTACAGATGGAGTGGCTTTCATTTATCAGACCAGAAAAGATTGCATTGGCAGAAATATTGAGAATTTGCTTTTGAAATTAAAAATTGCAATGTTTCAAAGATTTTGTTGTTTGTTCCTAGCTGTGCCTAGTGGCATCAGGCACCTAACTTTTACCCCAAGCTAACTGGAAATCTTACTTTCTTCTTATGAATTATATACTGGGCACCCTGGATTCCACAGCCTCAGAGCACTGAGCTCCCTTCAATTGAGCACAGCCTTGAAAAACATTGTTCATTACTATAATTATTTTAATCTCAACATACACGTATTATCGAAATGTTTGTGTGCGAATTAAGTAGCGACAGTTGGCACAGAGACGCTCCTGACCCATTATTGTTTGTTTGAAAAGAGTATAATGTTCATCCAGGGTTGTCAGAAAGTTTTGAAGTAGACGGCCAGTCCAGGGATATTTTAATTAAAAAACACCATCTGTAAAGAATGCCAAGCAGAGTAGCCGGCTGATACTAACCAAGTAGGGGCAATTTTCACCGGCAGCTGGCTACTTTTGACAACCCTGGTTCATCCCCAAGTGTTTTACATGAATGATTATTATGTTCAAGTTTCGTAGTACGTGCAAGTTATTGCTGTACTGCAGGAAATCCACTAGGTGGGGTACAGCCAGTCCTCTATGCTTAGCAAATTAAAATCTTTGCAAGGTATGTGAGGAGGCCAGGACTGCTGTGTTTTGCAGGCTGTAGCTGTGGTCATTCAGAGTCTTATTGAGGTTGCCTTTTACTCATTCCAGTAATCCGACAATGATTAGACTATGTGTTACCCGCTTCTGCCTTAACCTGGAGAGTTCACAGCTCTTGACACCAAAAGATACATGTACTATTGGTATATAAAGTGCAAGTGAGGTGCTTTTGAAAATGAAAACATACTAGGAATTCAGATAAATTGCTTAGAAAATTAATGCAATGAACAAAGTAGTAAAATAAATGTGACCATCACTCGCTATTTTGTTTGTCACCTGTTTCATAAACGAAAGCTGGAATGCCTAGACCTTAAAGCATCAGTTGCTTTAAGGGTTACGTATTAGCAGATGATGGTTAAGTCGGCACTATTATTTCCATCCACCCACTTTACTGCCATTTTCATGAAAGTATATATATACATGTATATATATAAAAAGAACCAAGAAAAAAGAAAAAAAAATCGAGTGCATGGGGGCAGTTTCTCAAAAGTCTTGGTACTACCAAAGCTGAAAAGCTGTTTTTGTTTTCATACAGGTAATAGAGAAGGTAATAGAGAGATTTTGACAAACATCAAATTCAAGTTGACAGTTTCTCAAATGAGAAGCCAGATAAAAACTGCCTAAAATATTTCTTTCTGTAAACCTGACATGAAACTAATTTGTGTCGATACAATGAACAGGACATGAGTTGGTCAGGTGGTAAGACATTTACTGGTGCAGTGTTTCTAAAAATTAATATAATCCCTCTCATATGACAAAACTACAGTAAAAGGAAATCTAGTAATTGCATATTATGTTAATCATGAGAAAAAATGAATAAACTAAATGTACAGTATTTATTCACAACTGTATCATGATAAGCCTGACAAGACTGATTATGAAATGTTACAATGTCTCTAAATATATCCTCAGTATTTTCTTGTAATGTAAATTTTTAATCTCAAAATAAAACCCCATCGTTAAATAGTTAACTGTAACATGTATAAAAGAACCTGCTTCATATTGTTTGGCTAAACAGGTTCTTATATGCTTGGTTATTAAAATGGCAAATTTCTCCCTGCAGATTCTTTAATCACAGGGTTCTTACACACAGTTTTTTACTGTATCAATTAACAAAACGAAATGGACTGGTTTGCTACCCAGCTGAACCACACTAACTAAAGTATCCTTGGCTTTTAACATTTGATTTTAACATTTGGTTTTAGGCCAGAAAAGTTACCAGGACTTTTTAGAGACAAACTATCAAAGATAGTAACAGAAACACATAGGCCAATATGGGATTTGTTTGCATACTGTATTTATTTGATTAACCTCCCTGGGTGCTTACTAAATTTCAGGGCTTTAAAAGAGTGGGCAGTTATTCCAGGTGGGCGCCATTTGAGGCTGAGCTTAATAAATTTTCACCATTTTCAGTAAGTAACAAGTTTGTTTTGCAACAAAACAACAAATAGTAACAAAACATGGAGATGTACCAAAGCAGAATTTTAGCCTGTCAATTAGAGTTTCTTTACAATACTAAAGAAAAAAATTGGTCTTTGAGGAAGTCTTCTAGTGGTACTTAGTCATTGTCCATGTCATTGTCAGTAAGATCATTTTTCTTATTCAAGGCTGGTTGCATATTATTTTTCCCTACCTATAGGGCGAGTAGTTACCACAATAACCTGAATAAGCTTTATTAAATTTTTCACACCTCAAATGCACTGCTTATTCGAGGGCAGCGCTTATTTGAGAGCAGTGTTTATTTAAAAGTTGGATGTAACAACGATTTGTTACAGTATTATTATTTTCCATATTAAATTAACAGAATTAAAGTCTTTTGATTTTTATTTTATCGGGATGGTAGAGCTTTTTGGAGGGAAGTGTTTATTTAAGTTTATTTGGTATTCAAGGTGAGCACTTATCCTAGGGTTGGGTGTTTAATCACATAAATATACAAAAACAGCTGATAAACATCAGAACGGCTTTGATAAACTAATAATAATAATTATAATATTGTATTTATTCAAATAAGTGCCCAACCTCGAATTAGTGCCCACCTCGAATAAGCACCCATCCTAAAGGCAGAAAAAGTTAATAAGCATCCAGCCTCGAATAAACGCCCACAACATTAAAATGAAACTCAAAAGACACACTTGGTAGATCCTCAGAAAAAAAAAAAAAATAGAAATTTTGCTTGTCAATATTATTGTTAACAGTTTCACTTCTGAAAGTGAATAAGTGAAATTTCCTATCTTTGAACTTCAAGAGAAGGATTTAACCAATTGTGTTGTAATTTCTAAAAATAACAGCTTGCATTAAACATTTAGCTTGATAGAATTTGCAGTTAAAACAGGAGAGAATACTATATGTACCTGGAGGAGGCCCAAAGGTGTTGGTTCAGCACTCATTGAAAGGTGGCACAAATTTACGGGTAGGGCTGATACCAGGGGCATAGCCAGCTTTTCGACTAGTTGTAGGCCTGGCTGACTTTCATTTCCACTTATACTGAAAATTGCACGCATGACTAGTACGCACTGACCTCACCAACACCATAAGCTTTTAAGCTTTTTAGCTTACCCAACCACGCGTAATTTATTACCAGCAGTAGAGTGATCAAACCAAAAATTTGTAGGCCCAGGCCTAAAGGTCTATGAGCTGGCTACACCCCTGGATACAGACCATAATTAGTTTAAAATGGAGGTAAAACTTCGGAGATAGAAAATGCGTTTTGTAAGGTGAGACACTTAAAAGTGTGTTATAAAAGTAACCAGTCCATAGACAACAAACAACCGGTTTGCTGAAAAGTTTGGTCTCCCTACTCTGAGTTAATGTAACAAGCAAGGAAACTATGGACCCAAAAGCGAAATAAAAAGTAAACAGTACTGAATAAAAAGCTTTTTAACAAGAATGATATCATATTTTCTGCTTGGGATACCTATGCCGTTTTGACCAGAGCACTTGGAAATATGAAATCGACTTAAAGCCTTATAGATGGAGTAAATTTGCCACAATCAAGTCACACACCCCATCAGTATTTCGGCTTTGTTTTTGTAGGTCAATATACGCATGTTTTGACAGTGCGAATTAAGCTCCCTGGCCTTTGAAATTCTTGGGTTAATCATCTTTGCATGTCGCCTAGATCAGTGTTACAATCAATTTTGAGGGTCGGTGGTAAACAACACCAAGCCCTTCGCAGCGAGGAAATTTCAACGCCGAAACCATCTAGACAAATTACACCACATGCCCGTTGCCGAAAGCACGTGTGCAAAAAAAAAAAAAAGGAATAATGTTTATATTCTAAAAAGAGCCTTCTAACGCACTCGGCGTAAGAAACAATACGATGTTATGAATATGCCAAAGTGACACTACTATTCGATTTCATCCGCGGCGCAGGGCAAATGAAAACATATTGAGTTATTTGCTTGTACCAGTTCATTGAAGCATCATTCAAATTCGAGGATCACAAAAGACTCCTTTGCAGATTTGCATCCGAATAAAAGCGGCCTTTTTTGTTTGTAGCCCGAATCAAGCGCATGGGCCTCTGAGAAACTCTGGAAGAACCAATTTATGTACTGTACAAATGAGCTCATCGGGTCAAACTCCGCGCCCGAACCCGCCGTCGATTTTTATCACTTCGCAGGACTAAACGGCGATTTTGGTACGTTCTCACGGTAATTGCATTACTTGGAAAAACAGTTTTTCAAGTGTAAAGCCTTCCGACAATCTGGAGTTAGCTTCAAAGGCAGTTTACCAATAGGAGGTATTCCAAATACGCGACTCATTTCACACATTTACATGCAAGCCTGCTTATCGTGAACTACAAAGGGCTTCAATCATAGTTTGACTAGCGAAGACACGAAACCATAAAAACCACAAAAGTTCGCCTCAAAGTTACGTAAATATCTGCCGGGCTTGTCGATCTGCTTGATGAGGGCTTTCCAACAAGTTTACAGGGCTAAAACTCGTACAATTTTACAATAAAGTGCCCCACACTAGTCATGCATACCAAACAAGCGTGTCACTTGAAACACGCAAGATCGACCAGGCAGTGTGATGCGAATCGAATCGAAGCCTCCGAAGTTTATAAGAAAATGCACTTACCAGCATAAAACTATTGCGTCTACCGTTCGGTTGTTCCTTGGAAAGCTTTGAGATGATGGTTTCCAAGTTTTGTCTGGGAAAGAAAACACAAGCATCAAAATAATTATCACTTTTCACACCAAATAGCATGTGCGTGCTAACACCTATCCATTGTGTCGCCCGCGAAAAGAATCACTTCATTGAAACTTCGGGTTAGGAACAGTCAAATCGATTCAAAAAGTACCCCTTTCGCGATTCTCCGAATTCTCCCATGACAAACCCTGGCTTGATGGTCTTCAACTTTTGCAAAAGCGGCGAATTTCACGACCAAAACACAGGATTATTTTTAACGGCGAAAGGTCAACATCTCTCGTTGTCCGCTCACCATCTCTCACTTCTTTACATTCCTGGTCGCTCTAACTGGAACCCTGGTCAGCGGTTGCACCTTGTCACGCGAACATAGCACGCAAAGCCGACAAAAATCGGGGAAGACTGGGTTGGAGTCACGCAAAGTAAACCTCAAAAGCAAAGAAATGAGTATTTTTGTCGGCGCAAAAAGATTCATCTTCAAAAAGTAATTTTTCTTTTTGGGAAAAATGGGATTGTACAAAGTTTTCACTCGTTATGTCTCCTAAAAAACCTGTTTTAGTACTTTTAACATCTTGCGTGATGCAGGGTGACGAGCCTTGGATGACAGCACGCAAAAATCAGCACAATTTAAACAGACCCCCGCACAATGTAAATTCGTCATGCACCCAAACAATAAAGCAAACCATGCATGAAAGGGTTTCAGTCACACAATTTTATGCATTTCTGTCACGTTCAAACCCAATACCGAATAGTTTTTCGTCTATCCGGTATAGTATAAACACCTATCCGATATGTTTTTATCCACTTAAGAGATCGGCGACGGGCAGCTTCGCTCTGTTACAGAAACCACACCGAAAAAACCCGTTGTTGTGTGTGTACAGCAACCTTATCCGGTATTGTTTTCGTGCCGGCACAGAAGCTATCTGGTTGAGTGTCAACATAGCCGAAAGTTTAAAATAAATTCTCATATCGAGATAAACAAAGCCATAAGAAATTCTGCTGAAAACTGTTTATTCAAATAGCGGCGCTTCATATTTTTCCCAAGCCGTCCAATTTTAACCAAACTGCGTGTATTGCCACATTGTTCGTTTCAGCTCGGCTCGAGCAGCGTGATAGGGAATTACTGCTCACTTAAAAGCCTCGTTTAAAACAAGGATCACAGTCGCTCAATCAAAGGACAGCAAAATATTTATATTAAGGACATTGAGGAGCCCTACTGGAAATGATGTAATTAACTTTCCATCTAAATCGACAGCGGGAATCATTCCAACAATTCAGGCCCCGTTCACCTAAATCCGGATGTAATGACACCGCACGCGCTGTATTTATTTTTACGCGAATCGACTTTCCTTCCACCCGAAACCGGTGGGCAACTGATTCATTCCCGGCCCCCTCGTTTTAAAAAAGAAAAAAGCGGTTTCAAGATTATTCGGACTTATGTGGACGGGCCTCAATATTGAAACATCACAATGAACTGCGGCACATTTAGTTGCCTTTCAAATGTTATTCAGTCCCGTGTTTCAGTGCTCTTAGACGGCCAAAACAGTTAGACAATTTTAATTTATGAGCAGAAACTTATTTAGACAAGTGTTTCTGACGGTCAAGCCACTCACCGCTTTTCTCGACCTTTTATACCAAAAGCAAACCTTTTTTTCTTTTTTTTATTTATTTGTATTTTTGTATTTAATTATTTAATCATTTTTCTTTTTTTATCGCGAACATGTAGACCAGAATGCCTCAACGAAACGCAAAGGCTTACTTTGGTCACGAAATCAATTCTAAACCGTAAACTATTGTAGCAATTTGTCGAGGGGGCATTAGTTGTCGCTCTATTTACAAGCAAACAAAATTGTTATTCAGGATTAGTTTACATACTACATATTTACATACAGAAAATATTTCGAATAAAGATATGCAAGGCAAATGTGGCAACCTCGGTTAGCTTTGTTGAAAACAACAAGTACTTGAACTTAAAACTCCTAAACTTCAAGTGCTTGTTATTGTACTCGCGGTGTTAGTTTATAACTACGAATCACTGCGGTGACTATTCGTTTGCTCCGCTCGCCATACTATTGATATTTTAGGCTTATTATAGATACACACAATTTTAAGTATCAGAAGTCAACTGTTCTTTGTCTTTTGAACAGATTTTGACGGCTGGGCTGTACTGTACGTAAACACACGCCTTTCATGTGCCATTGCCCCCAACGGGGGGGGGGGGGGGGGGGGCGGGTCCCTCCTTTTTAAAACCAAAATGTTTTTGTGCACCCCCAGGGGGGAGGGGTTTTTGCCCCGATTTGGTTTGAAAGGGGTTAAAGACTCCGCCCCTTTGGGTTGGGAACGGGGGGGGTTTTTGGGGGGACCTAGGGGGGGTGAGGAATTTATTGTTCGTTCCATTTCAAAATAAATGAAAAAAAA